AGGTATGCTCATTTTTAATATTCGGTAGTACAATGTTGTGTATATGTTCCAAATTTTCTTTATCCATTTATCAGTGGACAGACATGTAGGTTCACATTCTAACAAGACATTGGGTCAGGACAGAAAAGTCCAAATGATTTTCTCTCGATCTCTAATATCCCTCCCTAAAATTCAGAGAAAATTCAGATGATGTAGAAATAAGATACAAAGCCAAAAAATATATATGTTGCAAGAAATGAGAAATAGTATGGAATAAAATCATCTTCCTGGCCCACAAGGAAATCGAAATGTCTATACATGAATTGCACAAAGGGTCCCTGGATATCATCAACACCTCATGGCTATGTTTCAAAGCAGAATTCAAACTGCTACAGAGATCAGAATTTCATTTTGGGGAGACAACAAAAAGGAGATACATGGAACCCAACATGTTTAACTTTATAAAATATGAGAATATTAAAAATCACAACCATTCTGGTCTGCCTTCTCCCTGTCCTCAAAGCATCCCTTTCTTCACTGACGCAGGAGAAAGGACTAAAGGACTTCCTTTGACAGACACCTTCAACTGCAACCTGCTATTCTCAGGTGAGGCCAGCCCACAGACAGGCCCTATCCCAACTTTCAGTACCACTGCAGGATAATCTGAAACATCTTTTTTTTTTTTTAGGCAGAGACAAAGGTCTTCCTTCCATTGGTTCACTCCCCAAATGGCTGCTATGGCTGGCACGCTGCACCGATCCAAAGCCAGGAGCCAGGTGCTTCTCCTGGTCTCCCACGCAGATGTAGGGCCCAAGCACTTGGGCCATCCTCCACTGCACTCCTGGGCCACAGCAGAGAGCTGGACTGGAAGAGGAGCAACCGGGACAGAATCTGGTGCCCCAACCGGGACTAGAACCCAGGGTGCTGGGGCTGCAGGCAGAGGATTAGCCAAGTGAGCAGTGGCGCCGGCCTAAAACATCTTTTTCAACCTTAACCCTCAGAATTGCTAATTGCAATATTTTTAGGTGCATGGATAGAGTCTCTCATTCACCAAACTTTCATCAGGCTCCTCTCAATCCTTTTCCCAACTTGCCTTGAATTTCAGACTTCTGTGGATTCCTTTACATGCGTGCAGTTCTAAGAATACTGCTGGTCAGGGTTAACTGGAATCTCCACTCATCCCTGATACTTCCTGTTAGTAACTTCCCATCCAAAGGCCCCAAACCATTCCTTTGTTATAAATTCCAATTTACCCTTGTTGAATTCAGAGTTGGGCCCAATCTCTCTCCCTACATGCAAAGAATCATTGTCGTAGTCCCTATAACTATGGTGATAATCCTGAGTAAAGTCTGTTTATTGTTTTAACCCGGTGTCAGGAATAATTTTTGCCCTTAACATCTCCTTTACATTAAAATTCTGACCTCTTCCATCCTCCATGGGGGGAAGTCGGAAGGAGTTTGGCTGCCCACTAGTGTCCTTCTCTAGAACTATATGGCTCAGGTCCTTATCAATGAAGCCCTGTTCTAGAGCACAGGAACCCAAGGATCAAGACTTTGCAAGACAAGGCATTTGGATCTCCCGGAATGCAACTAGTATATTTGGCATTGTTTGCATGTTGCACTGGAAAAACCTCAGATACATCACCTGTACCAAACAGAATAATTTAAAAGACCCAAAAGGAAAGTCAGAATATTGAAATAGGACATGCAACACAACTGTATGTAAATCCATGAGTTCAACAGAATGCAGTAGAAATTAAAGCCACTATACTAATTCTTGAGCATCTATCCTTTGCCAACAATGTGTTCTCAGCAGTCGTTAACTTAATCCAGAGATTATCATATCCCAAATGGTATATTAAAGAAACTATTTTTTTCTAGGCATATCTCTTATATTCTCCCAAGGAAACCTCTTGCTCAACAGAAATGTTTATCAATGTAATATATCCTACTCTAAGCAAAGGTACCTCAAAGGCTATAACCTTGCTAATTTTTGTGAGTCCATGTAGAAAGATATAGAGTATAGGATTCACAGAGCTAGGAAGTTAGTACAAGTATTCTTTCAAAACAAATTTATATTTTCCAAGTGATCTAATATATTGAATACATATACTTCCTCAGTTAACAACAAGGATATTGGGAAAGTACTTATCTATGGATCTCTAACATTCATTTAGGGATACACTTGTATGTAGATACATCCAGAATTGGAACATCTTTAAAAATTACTTAGCAAACTGTCCCATGTTGACATAATCATATGAAAAAATTAGTAGGAATTTTGTAAATAAAAAGGTAAAAATTATGGAAAACAGAGAAACCTTCCAGATTCATTCTAATCAACTCAGGGAGCAGCAGCAAATACTGCACAAGATGAGGAGAGTCCCTTGTGCATTGTCATCAAGTGCTGGTGAAATGCCCAAGCTACTAAGTGGAGTAATAGATTCCCATCAGCCCAAAGCATCACCTCCATTTCTCACAGGAGCTCAGCATTTCACAGGGGAACTGTAACAGACAGGCAGAGTACAACCCAGGAGTTATGGGACTGTGGCATGCTCTATTTTAAGGATCCTTTTCAAAAATAAGAGTATGTGGGGCCAGCATTGTGGTGAAGCAGCTTAAGTGCCACTTGCAATGCAGCATCCCATAAGAGCAGCGGTTCAAGTCCTGGCTGCTCCGTTTCCCTTCCAGCTCCCCACTAACACTCCTGGGAAAACAACGGATGATAGTCCAGGTGTCTGGGCCCGTGCCACCTATGTGGGAGACCTGGACAGAGTTCCTGGATCCTGGCTCCAGCTAGGTCCAGCCTCCAACACTGGAGCCATTTGGGGAGTGAACTGGAAAAAGAAGACATCTGTCTCTCCCATTCTGTCATTCTGCCTGTCGAATAAATAAAATCTTTTAAAAAATAAGAGTGCAAAATTAAAGGAAAATATTTTAGAACAAATCATAACAAATTATAAATTTTAAAATGCTGTAAATATTGCAAAAATCATAAATATTACAAACAAGTTTTATTAAATAGCTGTCCATGTCCCTATTTTTCCCTTATATTTTATGACTGTATATCTTTGGTTAATTTATTGGTGTGATGGTTTGGTAGAATAATGTTTTGGTAAGAAAAATTTCAGTCTTCTGTGCAGTTAAACAAAAATTATATTCTTGGTTAATAGAGGCAGTGCATAAACTTTAATTCATATATAGATTTCTTTTATGTTTGTAGTACTGCAATAAGTTTGTGCCCTACAAACATAGAAATTATAATACATTCCAATAAAATTATATAACTCTCATCAAAATTAAAGAACATTTTTCATGTATAACCACATTGCTGCATTATTAAATATATTTCTAAAAAAGAAAATTTTCATTTGACTAGGCACCTTTCTTTACTTCAAATTTTACACACATAGTGATAGGAAGCATTTTCCAGACTAGCCTCTGGAGCCATCATTTGTGATTTTCTTGATTCTCTACCATTGCTGGGCACCTCAGGTGATGTTCACATCACAGTAAAACATCTGACCCTGCATCTGCGACACTAAGCAAGTCAACATAGTAGTTAACAGGAGTGCTGCCAAAAGCCACTTATACCCTGGGAAGATTAACGATATACTGTAGATCACATAAACGTGTCCCACTAAACATATCCCAACTTCTCAGTCAAAACCCTAAAATGTCCACCACTCATCCAAGGTGACCCAAGACAGAGGGGATGTTAGAGTGGAAAAGGTTGATGGTCTTTTCTGTGTATAGGTAAAATGTCTCATAACTGGGTGTTTTACAAAAGTATGACCATGTGAATAATAGCTAGGATCTTACCTATGGCCTGGAGAGGGACCACTGCAGGTGAGGACCTTGAAGTTTGAATTTTATTAACATCAAGATTTGTAGCCACTACCAGCTGGAGAATACTGACACAGATGTCTGGCACTCATGAGTTCAGAGGAAGACAGACCATCATGGATGCTGGCAACATGAAAATGTGCCCAAGAAAAATGACCCTGAGTAGGTTTTTAAGGATGGAAACATATTAATAGGACCATAACAAATGTTTGATGTTAGAACTGAAGAGATGGGACCAGCACTGTGGCGTAGCGGGTAAAGCTGCTGCCTACAGTACCAGCATTCCATATGGATGCCGGTTTGAGTCCCAGCTGCTCCACTTCTGATTCAGCTCTCTGCTATGGCCTGAGAAAGGAGTAGAAAATTACCCAAGTCCTTGGGCCCCTGCCCCTACATGGGAGACCCAGAAGAAGCTCTTGGCTTTGGATCGGCACAGCTCTGGCCGTTGCAGCCATCTGGGCACTGAACTGGCAGATGGAAGACCTCTCTGCCTCTCCTTCTCTCTATGTGTAACTCTGACTTTCCAATAAATATGTAAATCTTAAAAAAAATAAAGAACTGAAGAGAATTTGAAGTATAAGGAAGACAGGGATTCCAAAATTTGCAGGGCTGATGTTATGGCACAGTAAGCCAAATGCTGCCTGCAATGCCACCATCCTATATCAGAATGCTGGTTCAAATCCAGGCTGCATCATCAATACAGCTCCCTATTAACAAGCAGAAGATGGCCCAAGTACCTAGGCTCCTGTCATCCATGTGGGAGACCTGGATGAAGCTCCAGACACCTGGCTTCAGCCTGGACCAATACCAGCCATTGCAGTCATTTAGGAAATGAATTAGCAGATGGAAGACATCTCCCTTTGTTGCTTTGTCTCTCCCTGTCTCTCTCCCTCACTCTGCCTTTCAAATAAATAAATCTTTAAAAAAATAAAAGTTCACAAAAATCAATAATTAGCAATTGCATAAAGTCTAATACTTTCAGTGGACTAGTTCTACTAAAATTAGCTCATAATTAAAAATTCTAAAACAATAAGAAATTTCAATATTATAGCCAAACATAACAATCAAATTTTACTCCAGAACTAGTAAATTAGTTTACTCCAGAACTAGTAAATTTTATGAAATAATTTAAATAAAACTATGAAATATATTTTGAATATTCATTTAAATATAACAAAAACTATATAATCAAACTGGGCAGAATAAAACAAGGGAAGGTGGATAATAATCAGAGAAATGAAGGGATGTGAAGAAAAGTCAGTCTATGGGATGAATGAAAGACTAAACACAGTGGGGGTGGCAGTGAATTGCAGATGTGTGAAGGAATCCAGCTTCAGTCATGGGGACACAGAGGAAATGATGTTGAAGTTTTGCTTTCCTTTCCTTGTGTAACAACTCTCACTTCGCTTCTCTACCTCACTACCTCCACAGCTCTCACCTGAACCCTGCTGATCTCTAACCTTTGAAGTCCAAATAGCCAAAAAAAACTATTTTATGGATGGTCCAACAATGAGAAGGTGGTAGAATGGAATGTGGGTTAGTGTAGACATCTAGACCCAAGAAGTGGACAGGGATCACACACGGTCTTCCTGTCACAGACGCCAGTCCCAAGTTCCTCCCGAGTGGATGGTGGTGAGAGTGTTTGGGACATTTTGTCCAGCATCTAGCATTTGCATCATTTAATCTGGAGGCTGAGACATTAACATGGGAGATAAGAGGTCAGATAAGTGGAGAAGCAAAGTGCTCACTTACTTTCCTAACATGCTCCTGCATTGTATATCTTTTCTTTAATGTGCTTTACCAGACGTTCTATTTATTAGCCTATAGCTATTCTGAACAATTCTTCCTGTGGGGATATCAGCCAGCCTCTGTCTGACAGAGAGGCCTGGGTGCAGAGGCACAGGTCGGCTCTAATCCAGAAAGGATAACCCCATATCCTCAAATCCTTTCTCCTCTTCTTGGGCCAGGTTACAGGGAGCCACAGTAATACCGGCAAAATATCAGTAGCTCAGGGACCTAAAGGTGATCATATTGCGGTAGGCATGTTGTCATTTTATTTCATGAGGTAGCCTAGCTTCACAGAAGGACTGTGGGTCAGCAGTTAGAGTCCTGAATTTTGTTCCTGGCCCCAACACATACTCCACCTAGCTCTTTGTCAAATCACTTTCTAACTCTGAAACATTGTTCTGCTCTATATAAAGGAGTAAACTAAATCATTCCAAGTCTCCCCGACCAGCTCCTTCCAGACTCAAAAAATAATGACCACGTCACAACACTACAGCTATAACATTATTCAATAATCTCAGTATGCTCAATTGAAACAGCCATAATAATATCTTTCTGTTAAAATTGGGATGAAAACCCAATGAGGTAATTAACTAAAGTACCTGCCCAAAACACAGGAAGTGTGCGATACAATGGTGGGTTTTGCTATTTACATTTATTTGTTAATGAGAAAAACAATTAACATTGTTTTAAACAGTTGTGGCAAAGAATGTTCCAATAATTTTGAAAGAAAAACTCTTTTTGACTGCCCAGGAATTCTGAAATGGAAGAGCTAAGAGACTTATTACAAAAGAAGCACACAAAAGTAGGGCCATAGATAGGGAAAGACACTCAACATGGTTCAGATTTAAGAAGCAAGTCTCAGCATCCATACCAAGAATCCCTGAATGAAGATTCTTAGAGATAAGCATATGGAGGGCTGAAAAGTCATTCCCATCTGGGTCAAAATTTTACATCTCCTACAGAGAATGTTTTTGTATCATTTATCTGGCTATCTATGCATTGTACCCATACTTCACCCAATCTGGGGCATATGTAATTTATAAATAAAGATATTAATAGCTATCATATATTGTATAAAATATTTGTTAATCTAAATAGATAATTTTCTCATGTCACTATCTTCAGAAACCCTAAATTTCTACTAATTTCCATATTTCTAAGTCTAATCTCTACCAGCTTTTATTTGACTGATTTCTTTGGCTACAACCAATGGGTATGAATGAAGCAAACTAGCACAGCTATGTTAGGAAGAAAATAATTTTTGCATATGTAGAGCACATTATTACCGCAAAAACTCTCTCTGCATCTCCATTTCCTGTTAAAAACAAACAGCACAAGTTTCTACAAAACCTTATGCCTCGTGTGGTAAAAATTGAAATAGGCTTCATAGTGATAATATGGAATCAGTTTTCTTGGGTGTTTAACTCTTTATTGTGCTAGAAATATTCTTTTAATATCAAATAGACATAATTTTTTCAATATGCTCTTTATTGATGTCATCAAACATGACTGGTTGTATCTGGATTACAGAACAGAAACCATGACCCATCTCATTTTATTTGTAAAGCTAACATAAGAAATAAAGGCCACAGGACATATACACATATCTCTGACCAGGATGTTTTGATCTTTGTACATTGGATTTTACATGCTCACACTAGAAAGGAAGTGTCTTATAAATAAATATGAAGAATCTACAATCTGCTTGAATGTTTGCTGAGTTGCTCTCTGCTGCCTGATTTCTTAATGTGCAAGGAGGAAAGTTAGTATTTATTTAATATTCTCTATGGTGTTTTCTTAAAGTAAGGCGCAGATTCTCCTTTTCACATTATCATGTTCAGAAAATCAAAAGCAGTCTTGCAGCCAATCTATATATTTTCTGCCTCTTTAAACTCCTTGCAAATTAGTAAATTTATGGACTCTAATATATTATATGGTACTTTAACTTTTGCATTACAACAAATTTATCACATATGATATTGATTTACTCTTCATCAACTCACCCAAGATAAGTTCCCTAAAGTCACACAACCCATGTGAGGACATCCTAATTGGAAGCCATTCTGTGTCATTTCTGCTATAGTTTTGCCACACAAAAACATGGAGAGAGGAAGAAAATACTCAGAGAAGTCCTCTAGATAGACTGCAGCTAAAAATTCTGTCATCTAAAATAGGAGATCCTATATTTCCCTTCTGTTTTTTGCTTTCCCCAATACCAAACAAAAATAATAACTGGAATAATTATAAGATGCTTTATAGTGATTTTGATGTATTCTCTAAGTTGATTAAATTTTATCTATTGGCCATTTATTGTTTTTAAAATTAATTACTAAGACATATGAGATGCCAATGACTGAAAAAAACATGTGCCCTGCAGCCATGGAATGCCACTGCAGGCTTGTGACAGCTTCTTGTGACTATACTTCAGACTTCACTAGTATGAACGCAAGTGATTAGCACCACTCCATATTCTAGGCAATAAGAAGATGGAGAAACATCTGTTCAATCTTACGCCTCATTGCTATTTGGGTGCAAACCATTTCCCACAAGCAGTTGCCCTTATCAGTAGGCTCTTTTTCCTAAAATCAGCAAAGCCTATAAACATCTTTCCAAAAGGCTAATTTAGTTCCTATTGATGGCACTGCAAAGCACAGACTGCATTAATTGACTTCATTAATTAAATCATGGCAGTGAAGTGTCAGTAACTCACACGCAGGTTCTGTGAAATGAAATTATTGTTTACTGGTATAGATTTGTTTTCCTTCCTCATTGCAGAGGGATGTGAGTGAGTTTGCCTTCTGTGACTCCAGCTGTATAAGTTGTCTCTGGCAAACACATTTCAAGTTTGGGAAGGATGTCTATTCTTCTTTAGGCATTGGGATGTATCTGGAAACAAAATTAAAAAATAAGTATTTGAAGTATTTAATGCCACATAACCTAATTATCTGATGTAAATATACCCACCCTATGTGTTCACCAGAATGTCACTTAAATGTTTTGAAAGACCTTGTCCAATTTCAATATTTACAGAGTAATCTAAGGAGGAGAAAAATATTCAAGGGTGTTTTACAATTTAAGGTTTGTAATGTTTGGGTGCATATCGTCAAGGGAATGGGGATGAGGGTAAGGCAGAAATTGAGAGGATCAAGTATTCAAGTATTTCAGGGCACCAGGAAACAAGTCTGTTTATTCCCAAGAATAGTTAATGTCTAAAGTTGAAAATGTTATTGGAAAAGAGATTATCACATTGATTCACAATAAGAGAAAAATGTCCTGGAATAGTGATGTAGAAAGTACTAGGCACTTGGGATAGGTTAGCACAGAGGAGAGGCACACAGAGGAGAAATGGTCCAGGGACATCTTGGAGCCTCAGAGACAGCACCCGGGAATATGAGTGAGCACAGCCATTTCACCTGCCATCCTTCCCACAAGGACAAGGAGACCATCATTCCCTCTTTCTTCTCCACCGGGGCCAGGCTCTGTGACAGCTCATTGATGCAGGAAGAATTAAAGTCCAGGAGATAGACTGAATGAAGGGTCAGAGAAAAAGGTCTGTTAGCACAGCCAGATGACTGGTCACAAATGCTCTGATGACAGTAACTTTCATTAATCTCCATGTGCCTGAGCAGCTGGCTTTTGGGAAACCAAAAGGAAACACTCAGTACCAGCTCAGCGTCTTTGGTGCTTAGTGATGGATGAACGTTGAACAAGCACATTAGTCAGAACTGTACAAATGGCCTTAGATCAATAAAAGCCACAATCAACTCATGTTTACCTAGGGATCAGGAGTTCTTTTCTATTAAAGTCCTTACTCCACAAAAATTAAATTAATCAAGAGTCAGAAATTGCTTTATATAAATAAGCTTAACTTTAATATTTAGCTTAAATATATTTAATAGGCTACATTTTAAATTATCTATATACATATTAATATGTTAAATTACTCTTCTTCCAGTTATAAAAGGGAACACTAATCTTTATTCCATGATAGCAAATAGATATTGAAAAATATCAATAAACATTAATTAGAATATATGTAAATTATAGCACCATTTTGATGTGGTGCAGAATATAGTGAACTAGAAAAATAGACATGAAACAAAAATGAAGATTATAATGAAAGGGTTATGAAGCATATAACCAGGAATCAAAACAGATACAAACAAAGTAAGTAAGGAAAAAAGAGACCAGGAGGGAGAGAGGGAGTGAGAGAGCAAGAATGTGAGAGGATAAATAAGGAAGTTTGAAGATTTAGGAAGGAAAATACCAAGATAGTCTATATAAGACAGATGTGCCCAAAAGAAGAGGGAGAAATGTAGAGAGCAATAAAAGCCAGAAAAATTAGATTGTAAATGCAATCAATTCCTGCTTTACATCACAGAGCCAGCTGCTTACTTTCACTACAGATCTTTAAGTACACTTTACTACACCAGGAAAAATCATAAATAATTTAGTCATTATTTATTTAAACATGCAACAATATTTAAACTCTAATGCATGAGGCATTTGACCACACTGAGGTGAACAAGGCAATGCTAATGTTCCATGCAGTTTATTTTCTAGGGTAGGCAAAGTTTAATCCTTGTGTGGTACAGGTAACAATGGTTATTATTGGCAGCATCACAAAACGCAGTGGGGAAAGGGAAGATTTTCCTGTAAATGGTATGTGCCTATGAATATAAGATCAAGGACAGGAGAGTTATTGATTAAAACAATAGAAGTCTAATATTTGTTTTTTATTTATTTATTTATTTGACATAGAAATAGAGAGAAAGGCCTTCCTTCCGTTGGTTCACCCTCCAAATGGCCGCTATGGCCAGAGCTACGCTGATCCAAGGCCAGGAGCCAGGTGCCTCCTCTTGGTCTCCCATCCAGGTGTAGGGGCCCATGCACTTGGGCCATCCTCCACTTCCCTCTCGGGCCACAGCAGAGAGCTGGACTGGAAGAGGAGCAACAGAGACTAGAACCCAGCGCCCATATGGGATGCTGGTGCCACAAGCAGAGGATTAACCTATTGAGCCACAGCGCTGGCCAAACAATAGAAGTCTAACATTTGTTTTTTACCCCATTTTATAGAAAAAAGTAAATAAATGAAGCTAAAGGAGATTGATTTCACTACTAAGTACTTAAATAAAATTTTAATACAAATATTTATAATCCAGGCAATAACTAAGGATCCAATATATCAGAGTTCTGTATTTGAAGAAATAGTGGCCAGACATTTCCAAACTTTGGAGTAAGACATAAATCTAAAAATTTAAAAAGCTGAAATAATCTAAGTAGGGTAAGCCCAAAGAAATCTATGGCCAAGACACACCATAATTATATTTCTAAACAATATGAAGTAAGACAATATTTTGAAAGCATCCAGAGAGGAACGGCCTTATCTAGAGAGAAATGCCAATGTGAATGACAGCAGATTTCTCACCTGAGACAATGAAAGCCAGTGACTAGGGAGTAGTGTCACATTTTTCAAGAACTGCTGTCAACTATGAGTTCTGTATCTGGCAAAACCGAATTTCAGTAATAAAAAGGGGAAAAAAGACATTCACAAATGATTGAAAGGTATGAGAAGGTATCCCTTAACAATGTACCCTTAAAGGATGGCTAAAGACAATTCATCAAAGCAAAAAGAAATTATGAAAGGAAAGAACCAACATATAGCTAAGAATGATCAAATATTCTTCTCTTGATAAGTTTTCTGAACCTTGGGGAAGGAAACAAAAGTGATAACACTATTTGTATTAGTCATAGCTCAGGCTGCCATAAAAAATGCCATATACAGGTGGCTAACACAACTGAACTGTACTTTCCCACAGTTCTGTTAGTTGGAAAGGCCAAGATTCAGGCCCTGGCAGGGTTCAGTCTCTGTTGAGGGATCTCTCCCTAGGTTGTAGATGTCCAGCTCCTCACAAAGCTTTTCCTTTATGTGAGCACACAAGGGGCTAGCAGGAGAGAAAGAAAAAGCAGAGGCTCTCTAGTGTCTTCTTGAGAGCTCTAGTCCTGTTCAGCCATGGCCATAGCCCATGACTTCATTTAGACCCTAATTACCTGTTTATAGGCTTTCTCTCCAAAAAGCATGCTGGGTGTCATGGTCTTAATATGTTTAGAGACAGAAAAAAAACATCTAGTCCCTAACACCAGAAGCTCAAGACAATGATATTTCAATAATGAGGATATTAAAGGAATCTAAGTGGAAGTGAGGTTTCCATACTACTCTCAAAGTGGTAAAATGTTGATATCAAAATATTGTAATAAATCATAGGTACACATGTTCTTAAGTATACACATACACACACAACATTCCACAGGAAATCACTAAGAAAACTACACAAAGTAACACACTCAGAACGCTATAAACAAACAAAATGGAATATTTAAATAACTCACAGGAAGAAGGAAAACAAAAACAAAAAAACCAAATCAAATAAAAATCAAAGACAAACTGTGATGAATTTGTGTTAAGTACACCACTTAAAAGACAGAAATGGAGAGAGTAGATAAAAGTGAACATGAAGTTGTCCTTTAAAAAATATAAAGGAGTCTTTAGTGAGATTTCTAACCTCTACCCTGTATTACCTTTCTAAAACCAAGCTGATTATGCATTTTGGTAGTTATGATCGATATAATAAGGACTCAGACTACAATTTGGATAACATGCACTTTGCTACATTGGTTGGTAGAGATACTCTAATGAATTAAGATTGAATACCCATGCAGTTCATATAAAACATCAAATCATACCACTGAAAAGCATAAATTTAGGCAATTGCTAAGTTGACCTGATGTTTGTCATGGTTAAGGGTATATGTCAACTTGATTGGGTTAAGAAACAACCAAGTAGCTGGTGGCTGAGAGGTTGTTTCTGGAAGTGATTAGCATTTCAATCAGTAGCATTTGAAATTGTAGACCTCCAATACTTTCGGGGACAATATAGAGCAAAAAGGCAGAAAAAGTGCAAGGTGCACTCTCTTCTGTAGTGGGAAATCATCTTCTACTATCCTGAGATGTCAGAATTCTAGGTTCCCTGGCCTTTGATGCCTCTGGGACTGACACCACTGCCTTTTTCTCACCTCCCAGCCTATTAACAGGATTGGTTTTCCTAGACCTGCAGCCTGCAGATGGCACATTGTGTGAAATCTATGCCTTAAAAGCTACCTGAGCAGGTTCTCCCAATACATCTGCTCCCATCTGTCTACCTGTCTCCAGCTGGTTCTATTTCCCTGGAGAATTATATCTAAACACAACTGATCTAAGTATTTCTCTGTTGTCCCAAAGTTATGATTATTTCAGAGTCTGATGACGTAATTTGCAATATTTCATCTTTCTCTTACATCAGATAAGGTGGTTCGTAGGTAGGAAAATGATCAGTACAGTAAGGCCAGTCAACATCAGCCTTTGAGACCCCTCAAAGAATCAGCATGGTCACAAGAGGCAAGTATGAAAAAGTCACATGGTAGTTAATCTCAATGGAGTGGAGGTGTGTGCAAACCTAACAGTGTATGAGGGAATTTTCATGTTTTGAAAATAAGATTGTTGTTACTATCCATGCAGGCTACAGAAGGAGGGAAGAAGTCAATCGCTATTGTCATTACTTTGTATCTTCAGAACATTTTGCAGTTTTCCAAATATACAAATGAGGGGAATTCCAAAAGAAAAATGAGAATAACTGGTGTCATTTGTATACACTTTTCCAGAAGAAAAGTGTAACATCTCACTTAAGAAATGAAGTAGTGGGGCTAGTGTTGTGGCATGAAAAGTTAAACTTTCAATTGCAGTATCTGAATGAAAGCTCCAGGCTCAGATTCTTTGCTTTCAATCCAACCCCCTGCTAATGCACCTGGGAAGCAGAAAATGGCCCTTGTCCCCAAAACGGGGGTCCCAGATGGAGTTCTAGGCTTCCTGGTTCAGCCCAGACAAACCCAGTCATTTGCAGCCATTTAGGTAGAAACAAGCAGATGAAAGTGTACGTGTGTGTGGTGTGTGTGTATCACTGCCTTTCAAGCAGATAAATCTTTTTAAAAAGAAAATAAATGAGATGGTGACCTAGAATCTGAACGGGAACTTCTGAACTGGCAGATTGCATAAAGCAGCAATTTAGTGTACTGGAGAAAAAAATTAAAATATGAGTAATGTCAATGAGTCTCAGGATTCAATCCTTACTCTGCTTCCAAGTCACTGTGAAACACTGGACAATTCACTTGCTATGAAAAAATAACAATGCGGACAGCCTGGGAAATCAATGGATTAACGACTTTTGATATATCAGAAAAAAATGCATGGCAGAGCATTTGTACTTTTACAGGAAAAACAAAAAATAAGTGCCTTTTCTCTGCATATCCCCCAGAGCCAACAAAGCCCTTATTTGCTGCAGATGAGGCTGGTTGGAATGTGAACTAACAGGTTTCCAGACTCCTTGGCAGTGAACTGGGTAGTAGGGCTCCACACAGGAGGAAGCCAGTGGCTGTGTTTGTCACAGCATGTGCATTTCTGGCAGGTTTGTGCTCCCACAAGTCAAAAGGTGCTTCTCTCCAGGAAAAAAAAAAAATGAGTTAATGTAACATCCTTAAGATATAGAGAGCACTGACTTCATTTCCTTTATTAGCTACTCCAGGTTTCCCCTCTATGAGACTGTCAGTGGCGTTCTGTATACTAAAAAGAAAAATCAGTGTCCAAAGTCAGATTGAAAAGAGCTTGTTTTTGACTGCATGCTTTTATCCTAGTTGAACCAATTATATCCTGTTCAGAAGTGGAAATTAAAAGGTCAATTTCCTTTTAGTTAGACAACCTTAAGTCAAGGTTGTCCTTCCTTCAAAATAAATAAGATATTTTTGGCACTGACCAAAAATTGTAAAGCAAATATTAGTTACATGATAATTTAATCATTTCTCAGAGGCTGTTTTTGGACTTGATCTTATGCTACAAGATAAGCACTCCATGTAATAAAGAAAGGTGATTCTGGACATACCTCTACTGTCCACAAGCTGAAGCACTCTATCTAATCTCTCAACTTCTCAGACTAATACATGCTGCAGTTTTGGTTAAATATGAGCTCATGTGAAGTAGGCAGGCATACAGGTTAAAATCAGTTGGGTTTGTGAGCTGGAAGACCACGCCTTTGCCACGCCCCTGTGTGACCTCACTCCCTACCTGATACCTTTGCCACCCCCTGTGTGACCTCACGCTCCTCCCTGGCCACATCTGGGTGACCACCAATCAGGTTAATTAACCACTCCCCTTTGGAAGTGGGCTAAAAGCCTGGGACACAGTGTGTCTCCTTCTCTTCTCTTTTCCCTGGCCTCTTGCCAGGAGGAAGTTGGCCGTAGCACTGCACCTTCAGGGCACATGGCCTTTAGGCCACCCGCCCTAGGCTTCCTGGCCTAGATGCTCCTCCACGTGGCTGGTTCCTGGTGCTTGGTATGAACTCAGATTTATCCCTCCCTCTCTTAGATAAAGCTCTCAATCTCCTATGCATCTTTCTCATTAAATAAAGGCTTAAAATGTACCATGCTGCCTTGCTCATTTATGCTGGTATTTAGAATTCTTCTCTAAATATTAGGCAAGAACCCTCTTGGGATTATTAATATTGGGGACTTATTAATAAGCATATGGTGATATCATATGACACCCCAAATTCCACTAACATATGTGGCATCCCAGATGGTGTTTCTGGGGAACTCTAAGCGGCCACATTTTTATATCACATGGAGAAACTCACTTGGGAAGCTCAGACTCAAGTTAAACAAACATGAGGAATAAAGACAGTCTCATCAATTTTGAAATTTCCTCAACATCCCGTTGATGTCAGATCACTAGGATCTTTATCTGTTGTGCCACTTCATCCTCCAAAAGGTAAACTGACTTATTATCTAATGAAAACAATAACTTTGTGTTGGAATAAATTTCTTATTATGGATTGGGAGAGAATTAACACTTACTGATCAATATGTTTAGACAATAGTTATTTCCCCCAGTTTTCAGATGAGGCAAATTGATCTCAAAGAACTTAAATGACTTTCAAAAGACTATTTTGCTGGTAAGTGGCAGAATCAGCAGTCCCAAAGGGCTCACAATGACCACATTGTTTTATGAGCATCAGACTGCTCTTTCCATTTAGGTCTAATCCATGCCACAAAAATCACTGTTTGTCCATTTTTAAAATGATGAAAATCCAGTATCTCACTAAAAAAAATATGGAGTTGAGTAGCTTAACTGGGAAAAATATTTAAATAGGAAATAATTATTGAATTAGTAATAATTAGTTGATTTCTATAAATGTTCGAAAGTAACCATAATATTTAAAACACCAAAACAAAGAAAAATTACTAGACACCAGACCTCTACATTCTGAAAGCAAAATCTGGAAAATTGACCTTTTTAATAAATGAACTTTAAAAATTGATGAAAGCAATCATCTAGATTTTGAGTCAACTAGACTCAAGTCTCTATTCATATGTTATCTCTTCAGAGGGCAATAGCAGCTCCTTGTGCTCCATATTACCTGCTCTCTCCAGAGTGTGCCTTGCTACAGACATGTATTTGTTCATACGTCTGGCCTCTTCCCCCTTAAATAGAAGCCCCATGAGGACAGAGACTTGGTTTTGTCTTGCTCTCTGCTGTAGTCTGAGCACTAGAAAAGTACCTGGCACTATGGTTAGCAGTCAATGAATACTTCTGGACTGAAAACTAGAATGAATAAAGGACACTCATTCTCTCTCTGGGGGTTCTCAGATTACAACTGCAGCTCCCATGTCAGCATAAGTTGGTGATGTCACCCTTTAAACTCCTACCCAGAAGAACTCTGGGTTTAGTTCTCTGCAGCAAAACTGAGATCATCCAGGAATAATTAAATCAAGCTATACCATATGCTTCAGATGCTTGGGAATAAGAGACAGAAATTAAGCACTCTGGATTGTGAGTAGATAACAAATGCATCTGCCTCTCCAAAATCCACAGCCCTAGCTTCATCTTGTCAGGGCCCAGAGGATGAGAGAGAACCCAGCTTCTGCTTTGTCATATTTCTGTTTCTTCTCTTGCTTCTCCGAACCTTGGAAGCGGCTTGTATTGCAGAGGTTAAGTGCCTGGCGAGGAAAGGACAGAATGAGCACATCCTAAAAGAAGCATAGGTCACTGGTAGTAAAAGCCTTCCACAAGTGCTAATGTCTCTGGCAGAATGCAATTTCCAAAAGTAGCTTCCATGGTGTCCACATATTTTTCTAGAATATTTCTATTTCCTTTATCAAAGGGTGGAGTTTAGCTCTCCCCTTTCCATCGAAGTGCTTATGACTTGCTTATAACTAATTGAATGCACCTGAAATGATGCTGATTGACTTGTGAAGCTGAGTCAGGAAAGGCCATGCAGGTGTACCTTGCTGGACTTCAGCCTCCAAGTAAGAAGTTGCATTCACCCGAGCCCACCAAGTCAAGCAGGCCTGGTCAAGTACAGTGCTGTACAAAGACCTAAGCCAACCTGAACAAAGACAGGCCCTTGTCCAGCACCAGGCAGCTTCAGCCTCCCATTGTTCGCCTGTGGTCACTAATAGACTGAAAGTTAAGGTGTCAGAATCACCCAGTTAAGGTCTTCCAGAATTCCTAGTCTGTGGGGAGCAACTCGGACTAGACTAAGTTACTGGAATTAAGACTTATTCTATGCATCTGCTCTCCCACAATATGGCGCTGGGAGAGGAGGAAACAGCTTCTACACAGCTGCCTCCAGTTCAACCAATGGACACCAGGACCTGCTCCTGGTTGGAGGAGAGCAGCATACTCGGTGTGTGGGTAGCAGAGTTGGGATTAGCGGAAGAGGACTGTAAAGGAGGAGAGAGACAACATGCACCAGGAACATCTAAGAGGAACACCTGTGCAGCCCCTGAGAGAGCCGGCCGGCAGTGTGCCGCTCCCCCGCGGAAGTGGGGAAAGTGGCAGGGGGAACCGCCCTTCCACGGAGGTGGAAGGGTCGGTAGCCAACCCGGGAAGAACCAGCAGCAAACCCAGGGAGGGCTGAGCAGACGAAAGAACAGTGCAGGGTCCTGTGTCGTTCCTCCACGAAGAGGGGGAGTGACATAATGGTGCCGTGACTCGGATGTGAAGCCTAGGCAGGGTTTAGTGTCGTTCCTCCATGAAGAGGGGGAGCGACACTAGTCCATAGAAACCAGGAGACAGCAAAACAATGATTGCCATTGCTCCAGACTCTATATTTCTATATTTATGATTTATCTATTGCACAGCAACAGCTAACAAGAATTATAACCCAAAGCCCTGGGCACCAGAAGACAGTGTGAGTAGAAGGGAAGTGATATTAGCACCTATGCCATTCATTATATTTCTGGGTATGTAAGTTTCCAGTCAATTCTCCCCCTCTACCTCCCTTAGGTCCTAGGAATGCTCCAACTCCACTGTTGGGCCTAGGAGAAAGCTTTGAGCTTGCCCCATGCATATTCATAGAGCAGAATAAATGTGCAGGGAAAATATTTGACCATCTTAGTTCAACTATGATCCAAATTGTGATGTATACTTTTCCTGCACGGCAAACCTGTGAAGCACTTGAAACAGTTTTATTGCTTGATTTAACATACAGCTGAGAAAACTACAATGCAGAGAAATGACTCTCCATAATCAGTCCCGAGACAGAGTCGGAAAGCACAGCATACCAAGTATTCCAAATTGGGTTCATCTCTGTGCTCCAATCAAATCACCTAGAACTTAGAAACAGAATTTGCAGATAATATTTCTGATGCCTCAAATCCTCACGGATTGCATTTCTTTTCCTTGGCATGGGAAGGAAAACTTTATGAGAAAAGTGATTTATTGAATTAGTCTCAAGGCAATTTGAAAATTCAGCACAGCAATCCTGCATTGAGTCTATAAAAGTCATGCTCTTACTGATTTCTTTGATTGGCTTCTATTCTTGGCATTCCTGGGAGTTGGAGATGACATAAGCATCATCATCTTTTTAAATAATAAGATTTGAGATGGAGAACTCTGCCCAGAAAGAGCTGGGTAACCTGGAGTCCAGGATAGAGCCCACTGACTGCCTGCTTGGCTATCAGCCTTTTGCTGGAAGCCAGATCAACAGCAACAATCCTGCCCGACATGGTGATAAGACACGCGTTGTACCATTTCCTTAACTGAGAACCCAAGTCATCCTCCTGCTCCTGAAATCTCATGCAATGCCTTTTCTTTGACCTCTGAGAAGACACTTGCGCATCCTCACCTGGTGGTACACTGACAGTTCATATTCCACAGGCTGGATTTTTAATTTCCTGATTGTCTGCATTTGGGAGTTGCCTTGGAATAGGCAAGTTGTCTACTTGGAAAAAAATGTAACCACTCAGTGAAAATATATTTTTAAATAAGCATAGGAGATATAATTGGAATTGAATGTCAAGATAATCTAGTTCAATTCCAGTTAGAAATTGAAATGCACATAAAATATTTCCTTTAATTCACATGTAGTTTTCAAAATAAAGTAGGGCATTTTTTGACTTCCCCAGAGCCACCAGGTCCTTTTTCTTAGTTCCTCACAAAATCTTCCATCTTAAAGGCCAACTTTACCATGCATAGTACAGTTAATGCATGAATATATGAATATATAAATATCTCATAACCACAAATGAATGACAGTGATGACTTTTTGCTTTTGCTGTTCTTAAACACAAATATAAATGCAGCTAATGCTTGCAGACCTCCCTGCCAAATATAGTTTGCTTGAATAGTGCTTACTTCAATGTGCAACCCTGGGCCACCCCTGTTCACACATATTTCAATCCTTCTCAAGGCCTATGTTGTTGTTGGCTGTAAATATATTTTAGATTTTCTTGGAACGGCAGAGTTAGACAATGAGAGAGATAGACAGAAAGCTCTTCCTTCCATTGGTTCACCCCCCCAAATGGCTGCTATGGCCGGTGCACTGCGCCGATCCAAAGCCAGGAGCCAGGTACTTCCTCCTGGTCTCCCATGCGGGTGCAGGGCCAAATCTTGGGACATCCTCCACTGCCTTTCCGGGCCACAGCAGAGAGCTAGACTGGAAGAGGAAAGACCGGGACAGAATCCAGCGCCCCAACCGGGACTCGAACCCAGGGTGCCGGCGCTGCAGATGGAGCATTAGCCTAGTGAGCCGTGGAGCCGGCCAGCCTGTGTGGTTTTAACTACCTTTACATCCTCTCCTGTTCTACAAAACAAAACAAAACAAAGCAAACAAACAAAAGATATGACAATAAGCCTTCTAAGAATAAAAAAGTGCTCTGAAATTGAATTCAGTTTTGATATATAAAAATAAAACAGGGGCTGGCGCCTCAGCTCATTTGATTAATTATCTTCCTTGAGGCGCCAGCATCCCATATGGGTGCCGGGTTCTAGTCCCTGTTGCTCTTCTTCCAGTCCAGCTCTCTGCTGTGGCCGGGGATGGCAGTGGAGAATGGCCCAAGTGCTTAGGCCCCTGCACCTACATGGGAGACCAGGAGGAAGCACCTGGCTCCTGGCTTCAAATCGGCACAGAACCGATTGCAGCCATTTGGGGAGTGAACCAATGGAAGGAAGACCTTTCTCTCTGTTTCTCTCTCTCACTAACTCTGTCAAATAAAAAAAAAAAAATCAATAGCTTTTGCATACACAAACAATTCTATGACTGAGAAATAACCACTAAGATCAATCCTACTCCCATTAGCTACTAAGCAAATAAAATATCTTGGAATAAATTTAACCAAGAATTCAAAGATCCCTATGATGAAAATTACAAAATATTAAAGAAAGAAAAAGACACAAAAAATGAAAAAAATCTTCCATTTTCATGGATTGGAAGAATATCAAAATGTCTATATAACCAAAAGCAATTTACAGATTCAATTCATTTCCCATCAAAATATCAATGACATTCTTCTCTGAGAAAAAAGTTTTAAATTTTATATGGAATCACAAGGCACTAAAAAATAGCTAAAAACAAAGCTAGAAAATCACATTTACAGATTTCAAAACATACTACAAAGCACTTATAATCAAAACAGGCTGGTAGTGGCACAAAAAAGACATGTAGACCAATGGAACAGAATAAAAAGTCCAGAAATCAATCCATGCATCTATAAGCAACTAATCTTTGACAAAGGAGCTAAATCAATTATTGGAGAAAGGACAGTCTGTTCAATAAATGCTGATGGGAAAATTGGATCTCCATGTGCAGA